TTGAGGAAAATGGTTAATAAACGATTGACTAATGATAAGCGAGTTGTAAAAGTTGGGTTTTACTCCGAATTTGACAGGAACCGCTCGACTATTCGGGAAGTAATTGATCAGAGAAACCGTCAGCTGCAAATTGATTGCCCGTATGACTCAAATTTTGACCAGACAGGAAACGTAGCAGACCTTCTCCGATCTGGACACCCTCTGATAGTCAAACAGAAAATTAGACATAGTGCTGCACGCATGCTTTGGGTGCCGAAGCTTTTATATGACCCAAGAACAGGAATTTAATTTCTATTAGAAAAATGGTGCAAAAATCCTTCCTCACATATAGATTTGTCTTGCTTTTCGAATGGGGAAGGCCGCAACTCCATGAGATCAAGCGTTGAGAAGTTATTAACTTTCGTTCTAAAGGTGGGCAGGACTTTTGACTCACCCTGCAGTTGGATGTTTATAGCTCCTTGTAAAGGTATGCTTCTGCTCTTTCCGATATCATGTTCGTATGTGCTGTATAAAAAGTAACATGTAGTCATAAAATATATGCACAGAATTTCGAACTCATTTTGCATGTGCCCCTAAAAACATTATTTTGATATTAATAACTTTTCGAGATTTTGACTTTCTTCACTAAAAATAGAAATATATATCGTCCATCAGTCGACATATAGGGCAATGTTGATATTAAGTCAGGACATATCCCAAGCAGAGCATGCTCGAGATTATTAAAGCAATCTGATCACAACAAGGATCGGAATCCCTGTCAATGTCGATGCAAGAGGCGGTCTAAATTAGTACAGGAATAGTGAAATCGCGTCGTAAAATTCACTCCGAAGCAACCACTGAAGCGTTAAACTCATGAGAAACATTTAGTCATAAAGAAATATATTTCCGGCGTATCTGTCAAACTATTACGAAGTTCAAACTGGGTGTATCAAAGCTGTTTCATAATTTAAAATAACTCTTCCTCAAGTGTTCGTTACTAATCTGGAAAAGTTAATAGTCAGGAAAAATTAAATTTTTCCGACATATATTCACCTGCAAATTTAAATCCCTAGGGTACTCTATATACCGGCGTCCAAAATATATATCAGAAGGAATTTAGGGCTCACCTGCATTAAAGGATTTGTGATCGCATTCGTCTGTCTTTTGCTGAGCAAATCATCACAACTTGAAAATTATTACTTTAATCCACCAACCCTTGAGTACATTCGAAATCTCCTATGTAAAATGTATTCCTGTCCACCATCGGAGTGATTCTGCTTCAGTTCCCTCAAGTACGTGATCTGCACTTTACTTGCGTAATAGTGTTTTCTAAGGCCATCAATTTTTTCGCATGGCATTTGCTTGTAGTCGTCAACTCTCATCGCGAACGTGTTCAGTGTGGTTCTGTCAACCGTTTGCCACTGCTTGAAACAAATTTCCTTCACAGTTGACAGGTGATCTCGTTCCCCCAGCAGAGGCGTGTGGGTTCCAGACCGGGACACTCATCGCGTGTGCCCAGCATACACTCTTCCGCGCTGATAGTATAAAATAGGTATATTTGACTGGAGGCGCAGCCTGGCGCTGCCTGGCGCAATATCTTATTTCTTATATAACCATAATTTCATGTGGTTTAACCTCAGCATATAATTGATTTATATGAGTACTCGGTGAATTAACGTTGAATTATCGGCTACACGATGATTTGCATTATCCATGAACCTTTATGAAGCGATTTTTCGAATTGGAAAATATTATGACATGAATCTTGTGTCATAAAATCCCAGTTTAATTGACTCGCGTCATTACCGTTTTGCACCAGGGAAGTCAATAGGGTCGGATGAAAGATTCCATTATGCCAACCTGTTTGGACACGTTATCTCCCGATGACAGATTGTGCTGGCCCCCTTTTTCAGTCATGATATATTTACCCCCCAGTCCCCTGACGGTCAAGGGTGTGTTGGGGAGGGGAATCAGAGTAGGGGAGGGTTTCCCCATGATGTATTTATAGTTCTTTTCTCGTTTCTTCCCTTTTACCTCACACTACGCTGTTTCCAGCCCTGGCCCCTGGCAGTCACTAACCATGAGACGGGAGGAGGGGCGGCGTGGCTGCTGTGAAAGAAAGAATATCCAAGACCCAGAGACAGGGTCGCCTACCACGAACGGTTCCGAGCGTGTGGAGGAGAGGGTGCGGCGAAATATGACTGGAAAGTCTGTGTCGATGGAAAAAGGAGACATTACTACAATTCTCTCATCGTCAATCTCTACCTCAATATAATCGATATACGAAGAACAAGGGAAAGTACTGAAAGAGCTTCATGATGATGGCGAAGGAAAGCAATTCAAACGTGAATTGATGTGAGCGTAAAAGCTTCTAACGCCACATGAAGACATGTAGTTGGAACTGGAGTAGGGGTCAGGGAAAATGGTTCTCGTTCAGTCTCCATCGCTTTTGTGAAGAGCGAGAGAGGGAGAGAGAGAGAAAACGTGTTCAGAAGATTGTGCAGCATGGAACTTATCAAAATATTATTTCAGTGAATTAGTCAACTTTATGGATGGAGGGAAGGTATGTGCCTTCGATGAAAAATGCAAACAGGAATTTAAAAAAAGTATGAGGTGTGGAATGGAATTACCAGAGAGCATTATATTTTGCCCAGATTTCCTCAGTCTTCAGACATTTTCCGACGTCCGCGTCGTCTGCATGCCATCTCACGGACGAACGTAGACTCCCGAGTTTCTCTTCAATGGTCTTTTTCCGGAGTCGATTATCTCCTTCCAGTCTTACAACGATAGTATGTGGAGAAGTCGCCTCCAATTTCACATGCACTAAAACTGATAACAGCACCATCGCATCATCCCTCTCCTCCTCAGAGTGCACCCTGATGACGTTCATCAGGGGTGTCAAACATACGGCCCGCGGGCCGGATCCGGCCCGTGGAGGTGGTTCATCCGGCCCGCCGCCTGTTCTTGAAATTTCCGCTTGGATTGACTGATAGCACAAATTTCGGTGAAAAAGTATTGGTGCGGCCCGCAGGCATCTGCAGGATAAGGAATGCGGCCCGCCGACCGATTTGAGTTTGACACCCCTGACGTACATGATCATAGTAAGGGGAATTCTTCCGAAATAATGGTTCATTCATCCTACTTCTGGAAAAAAAAAGTCACCAGAAGAGAAAGCTTGAATGATGCTGGCCATGAGTGTCTCTAAGTGAAAGACGAGATGTGTTAAACACATCTAACGACGTTTCTAACGACGTTGCATATTTTGAAAATCATGGTCATTGCTCGATTACTCAGATCTATTATTATCGACGAATTCCTGTGAACTTTCAGTGGGCAGGAGTTCACTGCGGTTGGAACAGAGTAAAGCTCACGCAGAAAGGAGAAACTTGGAACTGGCAGAGGTAAAGATGCTACGAGACGATGTTGGATTTTGCCTATTCTAATCAATATCTGTTGACAGCTACGGTAAAATGGAAGGAAAACATACCCCATGACCATTCCCTTCAGTATCCGAGGGAACAAAAATATATGATTTACATAAAGACATGTTGACCTTGAGAACTTGCAAATAAAACTGCAGCGATGGAATTTATTTACCATTTATTCCGATGTGAGTGTCAACAAGAACAGTTCCCAATCATGTCATGAAATGATGGGGGAAGATGAGGGGGATACATCTCTTTCATGCTGTGATCGAGACACCAATGAATGAGGTAGAAGATTACATGAGCCCCACATGTTTTTCCATTTCAGAACTGAACTTGAACGTGTTGTATACAGCCAATATTCCCCCGTACTCGCTCACGAAACTTTCAAAGGGATACATATATTGCCTTGAATTTAGTCTTGGTCCAGCGTTCGTAGCGTGAGGACGTGTTAGAGGATACTCTCGAGGTTCTGTCAGCTAAGTCGTGAGTTAGTTATTACCTGGCTACTTTGTAGCAGTATTCATAAGTTTCCTGATATCTACCTCCAACTTCACATTAGATCAGTATCAATCAGTGTAATTACTTTAATTATTAGCGCATTATTCGTAATATTCCTTTTACTACAAGGACTAGGACAGGACAGTCTTACCGGGTTACAACTAGTGAAAGACAGTGATAAAAAGTTAACGATACCTTTTATTTCGTGAACAGTCGAAAAAAATCATCACAAGCAATACAAAGAAAACGAAAATCCCGCTAACACGAAATAAAGTCTTTTAAGAAAGGGAGAATGGGAAAATATTTGTGAAAGGCTAACAAATGAAACAATATATTACAATATTCATTTTCAACCGAGTGGAAATACATTACATATAAAAACATTATAATATGATAATTCATTTTCTTTTGCATACATTCAGTATAATTAATACACACCATATACAACGAGAAGGAAAAAATGAAGGCTCACAATAAATGAAGGCTTACAAGATAGGGGGAGAGAGACGGAGGGAGAATAAGGCAAAAAAATATGTAGAGTGATGAAAAAGAAGTTTCTACTCGTTAACACATTTGTCCTGGACCTCCTTACCATCAGCAACATCCGGGCCGCGATAGTGACTATTAGATATATAGGAGTGTTTGGAACTCTCCGCTGAGAGTTTGATAGAGGTATTCTTTATCATTGTACTTGACCAGACCGTGACATTTCTGTTTGAACGTATAAAGTTGAAGCTTGTCCGAAGGGATCGATACGTTTGTCACAGAAAAGTTCCCACCCGTTGACAATGCCTCTCGATACTTGGAATGGCAGAGGACATCCATTGTCCTCGAATTTCGATTCATACCTTTTGCTCGAACAATCTGTTCCTCGTTTTCACCCGCGAATAAAATTGAGTACATCTTTGGACGCAGACAGATTAGCTCAGAGATGATCCTACCACAAGTTTCGTCTTTGAATTTGCCCAGACGAGATACATTTTCTTGAGAATGCAACGGATGACCGGGAGGGAGAGAAGAGAAGTCAAAGTGGTTTTTGATTGCCTCCACTTCTCTGAATATATTTGCACTCTTGACATGGATTTGCAATGGAGGTGCTTTATTAACAGGATTAAGCATAAATCAAAGTATGTCGTTTATACAGATTAACATTTAAAAAATAGATCCGAGTTGGTGTATGTTTGTAGCGGTCGTGGGCGATCGAAGACTTTTTTTATTTATTTCTCCCCTCCTTGCTCGAATTCTACTGACGAATGGTGGGAAACCTCGTCTTCGTCAACGATCAGCTCAGAAGAAGCGTCTGTAGGCGAGGAAATGAATCAGTAAAGAGTTCATTCGTTACCTAATAAAAAAAAGGGAGACAAGAACTTACCCGATTTGAAGGAATTCGTTGGAGATCGTCTGTTTAGAGCGCCGATCATCTCCTTTCCTTCCTTTTTCGTGTTAATGTCGTCAGGATTGAGAGAGTTCTCGTATGGGATATCCATGATGTTGCATCCTCTAATCAATGGACAGTTGGGGGAAAATCTACGGTGTTCCTCGTACGGATTGTCTCCGTATTCCCAATTGTTAAGGATCAGACGACAAAAAATATAAGCCGTCTCATCGCGGATCCCCATATTATGATTCAACCCCATCTTGCCATTTCGCCAGTAGATACGATGTATCTTTTTGGGAAGAACTCAAACGACTAGAGTCGCCTGGCATGGCACAGCATCTTCATCCGTTGGGGTTGAAATCTTCATCGTCGGATGGATAGCCCTTGCTCAGAGCAAGAGGAGAAAATCCCACTTTCGAAAGATATTTGTCCGTCAGCAGGGGACACGGCCAATTCATTTCCTTGTGACAATGGTAGACACTTGGCGGAGTGGTATATGCTTCGTAGCCAGGAGGTAAATGACGATGTCGCGGACGAATGGTTTCACTCGATTCGCTGGTGATGAAGAAGGTCTTCAAACTGCATTTCCCTCGGCAAAATGCACAGCATACGATGAGGTTTGATAATTCTTCCAAGTTGTCCTGTAACGTCGATGCAGTCTTTGGATCGACGTCCAGATAGAATCCCCACCTGACGAGCTCCGACACATTCACGTAACCAGCTATTGCAGGAACAACGTTGAAAGTCTTCCTGCGTTCCTTCTCGATGAACAACGCGAGGGCGAAATTATAGTTGGGCTTGACGGGAGCAGCGTCAGTGCTAGCAACTTCCATCTTCTCGACTGAATGAAAGTGACACCAAGATAATCGAATCTTGTATATTTTCTTTCCCAACATACTCGTTGCTCCCTTCCACGACTCAGAGTTAATGACCAGGAGGGGACGGGGGGGAGGGTGTAAAAATAGCGCTACTGATAAAGGGCGCCAGCACAATCTGTCATCTGAAGATAACGTGTCCAAAAACCACGTTAGCATAATGGAATCTTCCATCCGACCCTATTGATTTCCCTGATGCAAAACGGTAATGACGGGAGTCAATTAAAATGGGATTTTATGACACAAGATTCATGCCATAATATTTGCCAATTCGAAAAATCGTTTCATAAAGGTACATGGATAATGAAAATCATTGTGCACTCGATAATTCAACTTTAATTCACTGAGAACTCATGTAAATCAATGATTACCTGAGGTTATTTCATATGAAATTAAAGTTATATAATAAATAGGATATTGCGCCTTCCGCGCCTCCTTTGCGCCTCCAGTCAAACTTACCTATTTTATACTACTGCTGATATCACAGACGATCATGCTCATGAGATCCTTTTAATTGAAGTTGATCTTGCAAGCATGAAGCACTAGCTTCACGTTCTGATGGTAAGTACATATGCAAACAGAATGTGTCTCAAATGCACCTAGTAAGACACACCACCTCGTTCGCAGAGAGGCAAATATGGAGAACCCCGCTTTTTACTACCGGGTTGGCATCCTTCCACAATATGTAGGCCTCTCGCAGGTTTACCAGCAACAGTCGCTTTTGTTTTACCATTCGCCCCTCCTCAGTCACAACGGATACGGCATTCTTCTTGTATGGGCACATACGGCTGACTTCGTCATCTTCATATAAGTTTCTGACGTTTTCAGCAGCAGCAGGGTTCATCAGCAACAGGGTTTGACTCCTTTCTTTGATTATGACTTGGCTAGTATCCCCTGTGACCTTCTAATGTTCCGGGAAAGCTTTACAAGATGTACTGTTGTCCCGAAAAAGTATGATGCATGCTTCTGGCACCAATGCTCGAGAACTAGAGTCAAGAAAAGGATTGTCAATAGGTAAATTGAGAGACAGCATTTTATGCCTATATTGTTTTCTTGACAAGGCCTGTCGGCTAAGTTTTTTTTCGGAGTTATGGCCAGACAGTCCCAGCTGTTGCATAGCATTGCACGTCCCTGTCACCACCATGACGAGTGTAGTTTATATGGGGAAACCATCGTAAAAGCTCCAAAGACTTTCCTGCGGATTTGCTGATATACATGACAAGGGATCGGGCGGCGGGAAATGTTGTAGCGAGCGACAATTTCTTGCTCAAGTAGCTACATGTGACGGCGATGTACTCATGACTTTGTATACAGCTCTGAGAGACTTTGCTAGTGTTGTATTACACGACTGTATTCAGCACTCCACCAAAACGTGAACTTCATTAATACGAAATTTTTACGGAATTGTTTTCCTTTCCTTTCTTCGAAAACGACGCACCAAATTATATATCATTGGAAAGATCTCGAGCTCACCTTCCTACAGGGTGACTCAAAAGTCCTTGGACACCTATTGAAAAAACCGTTGCACAAGTGATAGCCAGATGATTTTTTGAGTGAAACAACATCTACTACAGATCTATTGCCTTCCAAGTTTCAGGTCAAAAGCTCTTGATATGGTTCCCAAACATCAAAGAGAAGCAGTGATTTTCCAAAACCAGAGTGGTCTTCCAGCAAGCAGGATCTCAAAGCTCACCAAAACCCCTCGATCTACTATCTATAGCATTATTCAGCGATACAATGAGCTTGGATCAGCCGCAGATCGCCAAATAAGTGGACATCCTTCCATGTTCCAGGATAAGAAGCTCCAGAAACGAGTCAGGCAAATGCTATACCAAAATCCAGAGCATTCTGGAAGAAAGCTTGTGCAAACCTTGGGAGTGGACAAAGAGACCTTGTGAAGATGCATCAGGGGAAAGCTCTGCATGAAGCCTTTTAAAAAACAAAAGGTGCAGCTGCTTACAGAGATCAACAAGAAGAAACAAGTTCAAAGGTCCTGCCAGTTGCTCAAACAGTTTAACCAGTCCTCACTCCAAAGGAAGGAAAGCTCTGCATGAAGCCTTTAAAAAACAAAAGGTGCAGCTGCTTACAGAGATCAACAAGAAGAAACAAGTTCAAAGGTCCTGCCAGTTGCTCAAACGGTTTAACCAGTCCTCACTCCAAAGGATTGTTTTTTTTCTAACAAAAAATGTTCACTGTAGAGCAAGCTTACAACCCCCAAAACAATCGCCTCTGGGGTAAAAAGCTTTCCTCTTTCAAGTCTCACCAGCGATATGTCCATCAAGTTCAAAAACCAGGTAGTGGGATGGTGTGGGGTGGTTTTTGTGCTTCTGGCAAAACTCCCCTGCATTTTGTGCAGCCTCAGGCCAGGATCAATACCAGCTACTATCATGAGTGTGTTGAAGAAGGTGCTACTCCCCTAGACTCAGGAACATTTCGAATCCCAGCCTAGGACATTCCAGCAGGACTCAGCACCAGCTCACAAAGCAAAATCCACCATCGACTTCTGCAGAACTCACTTTCCAGACTTGATTTCCCCAGAAGAATGGCCTGCTAGTAGTCCTAATTTGAATCCATTCGATTACAGTGTGTGGTCCTACGTGCAGGCCAAGGTCTGCTGCAAGCCACACAAGAGTATCGATAGCTTGAAGCTTGATCTGCTGAAGGAATAGAATGAATTGTCGATTGATCGGTTGTGAAGAACAGTAAATGATTTCCCAAAACGTCTGAAGCAGGTTATTGCCTCAAATGGTGGTATTTTTTAAACATAAAAACATGGGTGGTTTAGTTTTTTGTGATCTTTGCACTGGTCAAATCAGAAATTAAATTGATCAGAGAATGCTACACTTGATTAAAGGTGTCCAAGGACTTTTGAGTCACCCTGTAGATTCTCTTCCTTCCAAATTCAAAATAACCATTTTATATATGCATTGGGATGCCCGATCAACTATAACCAAAAAATGACAGAGATTGAGACTAACCGAGAATTTCCAGAGCCTTCCAATACGATGACTGTCTTAGGGTCATGGAATGAAAGCTGAGATGCAATTCCTCTCGAACGAAGTTATGATCGCCTATGGAAAAGCTACCTTCACTATATCAATCAATATTAGGTTCGGAATGCCTTCCACAAATTTGCGAAAAGGGCGCAGGAATGAGTGGTCAGAGATCGTTCCGATACCCCGATTGATTATTGTTTTCTAATTCTGCTCTGTCGAGCATGGGGAAATGTATTAGTCTTTGGATTGACTGTGTCGATCGCAAGTGTGTCATATTAGAAGGGTGCAGTATCGTTCGGTAAGACCTCTCGCAGGATCAGCAGAATTTTAGCTTATTCGGTGAGGTGAATTGCGCCTCAAGAACTGAGACGTTACGTATTTCCGGTTCTATAGCGTCGAGTGCCTGCGTGGCACGGCGAAGCCCAGTCAAAAATTAATAGTTGGGCCAACTAAGGCTCAAGGGTGGCTCTTCCACACACCATATACGGGCCATCGGCAGGTTATCGTTGGCTTATGGGGGGGGGGGGGGGGGGTTGGTTGGCTATGGTTGGTCGTGTCTGGGTCGGCCGACCTTCGGGCCAACCTTCTCTGGCCATCCCTTAGTCACATATGAACAGCAACTGTGCCACCCCTAAGCCTACCTTTTACGAATGCATCCAACCCGAACCCACTTCAATGCGAGGGTAAAATGTCCCACATTCTCCATTCTGGCTTCCTCCAATAACCTTTTCTGAAATACCTCAGCATCCATTTTAGGAAAAGCCTTAAAGGATTGATTAGTATATAAATAATATTCCCCTCTCCTCGCTGGTCAAGGAGAAAAGAGGATCATCAGAGGTCAAGGAGATATGCAAGCACCATTAAAAAACCGGAAATAAAAACATTTAATTCAGGATTATTTGCACATTCAACGTATTTATACACTAATTCTTGTACAAGTTAATCGAGCATGTTCTCATTCGGGAACACTTCGCAGCGAATCCGCCAAAGTAAAAAGTAAAAACTCTTCGTTTCATTTTTTTCATAAGGAAATTTCTGCTAATCGGTTCAGTACATACGGGATTTGAAGCATGAAAAATTCCAAGTTCGAACAGTATGGGCCAATGAGAGATTCAACAAGATGTTATCTGTTAGGAAACCCGGCGAAGGGATATCCAGAATGTCGACAGACCGAAATGGGAAAGGAGTACGCGGGGACAGTGAGGAGGACGGCGAGCGGAAGGCCATGTCTCCGGTGGGATTCGCACCCCAGAGGATGGACCGAGAACTTCGGCCCGGCTCTATCGTATCTGATTCCTTTCCAACAGAAGAGTCCATCAGAGCTCCAAGACTTTTGCAGGAACCCGACATCGAAGGAGCGACCCTGGTGCTTCATCGACGATCCAGATAAGACATGGGAATTTTGCGACATTCCCTTCTGCCCCAATTACCCTAGTGAGCCGACTCTGACTCATATACACTGTCTGTTGAATATGTAGACCTGTTACAATTACATTAACATAGTTAATGTAATTGGCGCTACTGTCTGCAACTTGGCGCTATTCGATCGTCCTATTGGCTTCTGTAACGGCGCAGGTGATACCTCCTTGTGGATATGGTATATCTGGAGCAGAGTATCGGGAAAGCATCCATGACTGACGACATCGCCAAGTTCAACGGGGTGTGGGATTTCAAGTGTCGCATGGTGTGTTTCCAAGGGGTTTAAGTATCATTAGATGATGATGGCAAAGGAAGATTCTGGTGAAAATGTTCAGGTCACGTGGTCGATTTCGATTTGGCCAGGTGAAGAGAAAAGGCAGTTCGCTTACAATTACTAGGTTGTAACGAAAGTTTTTGTGCATAAATTCGTTTTTCCAGTAATGACGCAACAGTCGATTTTTTCGTCACACATTCTGAACGTTGTAATTATTATAAATTTAGCGAATTGTAACAAAAGCAACATATATTTATACGCGCATAAAA